TTTGCTGCTTCGTTAACTTAAAGATAAAATCTGTTAAAATCACAGAAAAACACGTAAACCTGAAACAACCGAAACGTCCACCTCAGAAACAAACAGTCATTTGTTCTTTTACTGCATTCAGACATGAAGCTGCTCCGTTTTTACTGTGTTTGAATCAGAAAACAGAATTATTTTACCGTCATCTGCTCATACGTGTGCTGTACAGTGTGTGTGTCTGTGTGTGTCTTTGTGTGTTTGTGTGTCCTTCAGGCTCTGTGCTGCCTTCAAGGACGCTCCGTATTGTCGCTGCTCTGCTTCTATTCAGCTCAGCATAAAGAGCTTTTTCACGTTTCTCTTCTTTCTTTTGTAATTCCGTCTTTACAAGCGACTCATGTTCGAACAAAGACGAACCAAAACCAGATGAATGTTCGTCCTGAAGACACGAAACCAGGAGCGTCGACTCCCGAAACGAATCCAGTCAGAGGAATAAACCAAAGACAGAAGATGGAACAGAGCTGTTGTTGTTTTGGTCAGATTTCAACTCATTTTGTAGGTTTTTGGACAAGTTTTGTCATTTTATTTCAGTCAATCAGGAGTGTTTTAGGAAAGCTTTTCACTCATTTTGGACATTTTTTATCTATTCATTTTTATTTTCTAAAGCTTTTGAGGCTTTTGGTATTTTGACCAACCAGTGTTTGATTCTTTGGTGGACAGATGGAGCTGAACAGAAACAGAACTCACACGTGTTGATTTCTTTAATCAAAATTATGTAAAATTTGTCCAAAACTACACAAGAAACGTCCAGAATGACAAACAAATTGTCTACAAACACGACACTTGTCCAGAATTACTGGGACATTGTTGAAAGTGACTCATAAATGTTAAAATTACTCCAAAAATTGCTCAAAGTGACACAAAAGTTGTCCAAAGTCAGACAGTAATGATCCAGAACGACTCCAAACAACCGGATGTTTGTAAAAAAAAAATCTAAATCTGGACAGTTTTTAGTCATTTTGGGCAGAGTTTTGGTTATTTGGTAAATTTTGGTAAATTTGAGGTATTTGTTGGTTTGGTGCTGAACAGAACCAGGTCCAGTGTTCAGACTAAGACACCTGGATGGATGTAGAACTGATCTGGTGTCAGGTTCTACCAGAACCCAGGTGTGTTCGTCTCTGTTTTTAAACAGAAACAGAAATACAAGAATGTGCAGTTTTATAGGAACTTTTGTACTATTGTACTTTTCCTCGGTCACCTGCAGCTGTGGGCTCTGAGTTCTTTGGGTTTCTGAGTCTATCTGCTGGACTGATGAAGTTCTGACGCTCAGAAATGATGGAAAAAGTCCATTAAAGTGATCAATGTGGACCCTCCTCTGTGGACTCCAAGGACCTGGACCTCTGGACTGAACCTGAGACTAAACTTAGTTTAGAGACTAAAGTCAGGATGGAGACCAGCTTCTGTCTGGAGTTAAAAGTAAACCGACCCACAACCGTTCAGACTCACTGATGTCTTGTTTGTTCTGTATTCAAACAGAAATACAAGAATGTGCAGTTACTGTGAGGTCCTGTAGGTCGGAACCGGGCTGGGGGTTCTGGCTGGCCTTTGCGCTAAGCCGGTGCTGTGTTCTGGCCTCACCTTGCCTCCGTAGTCGCGGCCGTCTCGGTCCAGTCGCAGCTCTCCGGAGTGCGCGTGTGTGTTGGGGGTGTGCGCGCTGTGGGCGGCGTGCGCGTGCGGTAGAGGGAGCGGCAGCGCCGGATGCGGCGGAAGCGGCGGCTTGGCGGCCAGCGGGTACTTCCTGCGCAGCTCCTCGGGGGCGTTGGGGTGCAGCGCGCCGAGCAGCGCCGCCGCCGCCGCCGACACGGTGACGGGCAGGTGGGAGGCGGACAGGCGCTGCGGCGGCGCGTCGCTCAGGTTCATCGGCTGCTGGTCCTCCGACGAGGACGAGGACGAGGTCGGGGTGCTGAAGTCCAGCGGGGCGGGGCCGCCGTTGCCGTTGACGACCTCCGTTTCCCTGACGATGGCGCCGTCCGTCACGGCGGAGGAGGGCGGGGTCAGGGCGGGCAGGCCGTTGCCGCTGCCGCTCTCGGAGGACGAGTCATCTGAAACAGGAAACAGGAAGTCAGACGTCACATGACCAGAAGTCAGAAGTCGGCTGAACTGCAGGAAGTGTTTCCACAGAAACAGGCCACATTCATGCAGCAGCAACAACAGTGATGTCTCAGCGTCTGGTCCTTTGGTTTACAGGTAAATGAAGCTACAAGCCACTGACAGGGACCACACCTGAAACCTCCAGCCAAAGTGGAGATCTGGTAAAACTCCGTCTTTGCATGTAGACCAGAGAGACGGAGTCTGACGTCACAGTATACGACAAAAGATGAAGTTCCCGACACGAAGCTGCAGCTCGTGTTCATCACAGCTTTAGAAGCAGCCGGTGTGATTTAGGTCACACATAAATCTACATACGGACACGTGGACGCACACGTTTAACCCTCCGAAGCCAAAACTCGCCGACACAATCAGAACCAACAAGCAGCTAAAGTGACACCATTCATCAGCCACAACCTGAAAACTGGAAGAACTGTCGACTTAAAATTCTTCTCGTCACAACCGAGTATCCAGGACCGACTCAGGGACGTTAGAAAAGGGTTCAGGCTGAGCTGCAGGCAGCGTTTCTACAGAACAGAGTACTGAACACT